GGGGGGGGGTGGTGGGGTGTTGTATATATATATATAAAGAAAGAGAGATTGTAGATTTAAAAAGTGTAGGATTATTTAACCTCATGCATCTTTCACCATTCATAACAAATTTTAAATGCATAAATTTAAAGTTGCTAAAATATAAAAGGTAAATAAATCTTGTCTTATGGCTACTTTGAAATCATCTCTCTTTCTCTCTCTATGGACTATTTTTAATTCATCAGGTGCTATCAATTTGGCATGCAATATAAACAAGAAATAAAAATCCAGCATGTTCAAAATTTTAATGTTCCTTAAACAAGGTCCGACTATTCAATGGTATAGCAATTCTATATTCACTGCTCCTAATAAGAATGCTAATTCAAAGGTCAAATAAAGAAAAGCATATATAATTTAGACACCCATTCACCTGTTTGTTCCGCTTCAGAAATCACCAATTCTTTAGTTCCTATGTTATCATAAGCAAGGGATAATTTTTCTGGACCCTTCGCCTTGGACACCTTTCTTTTGCTTGAAAATGAAAGCGCATCAAGCTGCTGCTGTAAATTATTGTTCCTATCCTGATAAATGTGAAAAAGTCAAACAATAAAACACCCCAATCTGCAAACTGCGGCATTTCAGCAATTTATGCAATTCCTTTTGCTAAACATTATCAGACCCCTAAATAGCGGCAATGTTCAAGCATAATCAAAACTGCACAAAGAAAAAAGGAAAGAAACAGGACGGAGTTATTGTGAATGGTGGAATATATCAATGGCCTATGTGGGAGAAGACCTGAAATGAAACTAACTGCAAGGCACCATAAAATTATATCCCATAAAAACTAAAGTTTTTGAAGCATATTAAGGCTTCGTTTGGGATGGCTTTTATACTGCTTCTTAAAGCTACTTTCTAGTACAAAAAAATAAATTTTTGTACTAAAATGTTGCTTCAAGAAGCAATAAAAAAGCCGTCCCAAACAAAGCCTAAGAATGAAGTGAGAACGGAGTATTATACGCACATGATTTCACTCAAACCAAAAGCAGTTTTCTCCTTCCAAATAACTGCAAATTTTTTGCAGCAACAGAAAGAAGAACACGTAAAAGCTAGAATCCGATGTCAACAAACTTTAGACAATAACAAATATTAATGAAGCTACAGACAGCAACCTTATTACACAAGATGCAGTGGTAGAGGAAGAAAGCATCATGTGATGAACGAAATGGGTATCCTCCTGGCAAAAATTGAGAAATGGAAAGCCTTGGTCCAGCTTGACGACAATCGTCAAAAGACACCACTATTTCTTTATTGAGAAGACATTCTGTCACTAGAACCAAACTAATAGTTCATTTCGGACAGACTTCTCTCGGTTTTGTTTTACCATAGCTGCAGTAGGCTTGGTTGGCAATAACGTTTTTGCTGCTTTACAAAAATTTCTATAGTTAAAAACAACATTTTCAAACAAAATCTGCAAAATTGTGATAGCTGTATGTAAATCGTTGTCCAACTTTTTTAATGAGGAAAAATTTTATAGCACCCATAGCAGTTTTTAAAAAATATATTTTTCCGACAACAGTTCTAAATTAGCTTTTACTTATAGTTTTAGTCACTTCAAACAGAACTTAAGAGAGAGTTAAACAAACAGCCCATCTTTCTGAACATGACATCCAACTTTAATATAGCTCTGTCCTGTTATCTGTGTCATATATTTAGCCAAGAGGAACTGTGGAAGTTGCTGTAAAATTAAGATGAATAAACTGCCGAATACACCCTTCAAAAAAGCCTATGGTGCAAATAACTATCTAGCTGGGGAAAACTAGTTTAATCTGTGTGGGAAGATGAAAGCTGAGAATTTAAGTAACATCTGCTAGATATAAAACCCGTAAGGGGAAAAACGTTTTATAATCCTCTTAATTACTGAATGGGGTGCAATCCCCTCTTCATATGTAAATAGAAGTCCAGATATGTTTAAAGCCAAAAACTAAAGATCTTGGAGCATCATGCAGTAAGTATTGCTCAACCAGGAATGACTACAACTGGAATGTATCTGAGGATGCTGGTTTCAACATTTAGAAAAGGCGCAGGTCTCAGAATTGAAGTTTTTTCGACATAAATTAGAAAAAAAATAGATCTCAGTATAAAACAAATTAAGTGCCATCATAGTTCCTCTTGTAATTTTTTATTATTATTATTTTTTTCTTTTCTTTTTCTGCGGAATTGTTCCTTTCTTGCACTTCTCAATAAGGTTTTCATGTGATTCTTTATAGGACAGAGAAGTATGTTGCTAAAGCATATTAATAATATAAACTAAACAGTAAAACAAGCATGTGCCACGTTCTGTTTTCTTCTCTAGCAAAATGTATCCCATACTCTTCAATATACAGAACTATATGTTCATGCGCATTGCAAGCATCAAAATAGAACAGCAAGAAACTGAAAGGAAATCGCTGCAAGAGTACCTTTTCAAAAGATAGCATCTCCTCCAACCTTGACAACTGTTCTTGCCCTGGAGAAAAGCAGCTCAAAGCGCATGACAATAATTCTTTAATGACTCTATAAGAAGAAAATTGAGACTTTGGGGGCAAAAAAAACAGCATTTTTTTTTAGAGCTGCTTCCAGGACAAGGATATTTAAGAAGACATTATACACAAGAATCCAGGAATAAAAACGAAAATTGTGAAAAGAATAGTTCTTTAAGTAGACTTAATCGTTTAATGGAGAAGATAAGAGAGAGAAGGGACAAAAGAAGGGGAAAGAGAGAAAAATAAAAAATGTCTTAGAAAGTGGAAACATAAATCGTTCAATTTTATTCAGCAGTAAATTAATTTCATTAAAGTGCCCTAATACAAGACTAAAGTTTTTTATATATACTATAGCTGGTTATAATAATTGCTTAAAATTAACATGTTTCAACAAAAACATAATACACACGATTATTACAGTTTTAGAACACCTTTCTTGTTGCACGCTATTTCAAACCAGGATAGGAATGTCCTCACTGTCTATTCCATATAGCATCCACCACCATCATCATTGGCCTTTATCCAAACAATTTTGGGTAGGCTTTTAAGGAAGCCAATAAATTGTTCTCCAATAGATGGTTAGTACAAGTATGCATAACATTCTTCCCGCTCTTAGTTGGTTTATTAAATTGCCAAGAGCAATCTTTCAAAAAATTATCAAGCAAATTTGTAATAGATGTCATTCATTCATTCACTTGAGGGAAAGTGTGAAAACATCCTGGGATTCCCACTCACCTATGGAATCCACTCTATCTAGTCTCAACTCCATGACTTTATGCTTTGAGGCATGCCTCAGTTTGAGGTGTACGTCGCATTTGGTTTTAGTGAGGCATACACCTCACAATTTTTGACGTGCGCTCACCTCAAAAGTTTGAGATGTACACTTCAAGCTATAGGTTTTATTTATGATGTAGATAAGGAATATAGGGGACCCTATATTTCTTGAACACAAGAAGAACACTGACAAAATGAGAAGAACTTAAAACAAACTTTGTTAAATAAACTCAAATGACCCAAAACTTGACAAACACAACAAAAGATGCCAGGAGATTTTAAAGAAATAAAGAAACTTAAAAAGACGCTATCCTCAGACAACCGTCAGAGTGGGTTCCTCACATGCATCGAATTTGTAGGTTAAATAAGTAAAGTGCAAAGAACTAGCAAACCGATGGTCCACCACTGCAAGATTGGCCAATTTCTTCAACAGATGCTTCAAATCAACTCTGATACGACACCCTAAAGTTGCTTTACTTTGAGAAAAAGGATACAGATGGAGTGGCACTTGCGGAGAGACGAAAGAGGTTAGAAGGCCGAGAAGAAAGGGTGGAAAGAGCCCGCAGGATTTCCGGAAGGGATTAGAAAAGAAGGTTGGAAAGAGCCCGCAGGATTTCCGAATAAACCCGCAGGTTACTAGCAAATATGCTCACAAATATCAACTCCTTTTCTTCATAACATCTTCTCATATTTATAGGCAAGAGAGAGGAATGCCAAGAGCCACATGTCTTTAATTTCCATTAGAACCAAAGCATAAAAGGCATAGAAAACTTCCCCCAAAATTTACGGATAAACACCCAAACCAGGAACCAAAGAGGCAGTTAGTATATCGAGAATTTCAAAGCAGCAAAGCCACAGATTTCGGAAAATCAGCCAGCACCTCACGGAACCAAGGAGCCAGCACCTCAGGCCGTGAGTTCAAAGCAGCAAACCCACAGGAAATTACATTCCAGTTCGGAATTCAGCTCCTCATAAAACCAGAACAGGAATCCAAGGAGTCCATGTCTCGGAAGTAAGCAGCCCGCAAGAATCCAAAGCAACACAGGCTTGGGAAACCATCAAAGCACGGAAAAACAGTGGCTGGCCGAACTCCCAAGAGTTAAAGCACATTTATTATAAAGTCTAATGCTCTGAATTCAGCCACCATTTTAAAAGAAGCCATGGTCCTCCAAGAGACAAGAAGAAAAGGGGAAGGGGAAGGGACAAGGCCACTCCAAAAGTAAACTTCATAATGAGGTACCTTTTCAGATATTTATGAGCTACTAAACTTCAGCTCAAGCAACTTAGAGAATCAGCTCAAAACCGAATGCTCCAAAACAGCCAACCCGAGAACCACCAGCAGTCAGGGACTAATCGAGCCAGCAAACCAAAGGTCTACCAAGCCATATGCACTACCTACCATGATCATTGGATGCTTTCCCATCATTGGATAGCTAAAAAAGAAAAGAAAACAAAATGCACGATTGCTCAAATAAAATAAAAAGTACAGAATTCTTGATTTCATCAATTTATAATTTGATTCTTAAAAGCTAATACCCTAAGATGCATGCACACAAACAAATTGAGATCGTGAGACCGAGACTTCGCCCAGTTCATTTCTCACAGTCAGCTGCCAACTTCTCCAACCCTCTGCCACTATTGGTCATCTTCAGACGCCATTGTGCCCACCTCCTCCTACCCAAGTTTGCTTCTTTCACAAGGAATTTCACTTCTCCAACAATTTTTTTCTCTAAGCGCTTAAAATCTCTAAACTCTAATTTTTTTATATGAGTCAATATGATTTCTTTTAAGGGTTGTCAAATTGCTTATTTCTTTAAGTGTTCTCATGTTCCCTGATGTTCCCTAAAAGCGATGTATTGTATGGCCTGAATAGATCGAGAAGCGTACAAAGGCCGCTACATTGTCGCCCGAGTACATTGTTAAATAATGGAATTAATATTATGATTTATAGGAAGATAAATATTCTATGCATTCTAAAAACTAAATGGGTTGGAGGAAAGTCAAATAAGATTGATAGTTTAATATTTAAACTATGATATTCTAGTAGTAGACTTATAAGAAATGGTGTAGGTATAATTATAGATAAGAGTAGAAAATAATAGAATTATAACATTAAATATTATTGTTGATGCTAAGATTATCAATATTATAAGTGTTAATGCTCCTCAAGTAGGCTTCATATGTGTTTAAAATTTAAATTTTGAAATAACTTAGAAAAATTAATACAAAGAATGCATTTTGAAGAAAAACGTTTTATTGGAAAAGATTTAAATGACATGTTAATAGAGTGATAGAAGATTTTACAGGCATTCATGGTAGCTATGGGATTGGAGTGACTAATGAAGGTGGTGGGCTTATATTAGATTTTGTTGTAGCTTATGATTTTGTAATTGTTAATACTTATTTAAGAAAAGAGATAAGCAACTCCTCACTCAAAAGAATAAATATAGTAAAACTCACATGGACTACTTTCTTATCATAAAAATAAATCATTTAGATTGCAAATATTCTAAAGTTATTATGAGTGAAAGTTTACATATCCAGCATAACTTATTAGCTTTGAACTTTAAGAAGAATGAGCAAAATATAGAATAATAAAGTAAAATGTTGTCCTAGAATTAGATGGGGCATTCAAAGAATCCTAAAAAATATATTTTGAAAATAAGATTAAAGATCTTAAGATTTGAACAGTGCATAAGAAAACTAATATTATGTTGAAAAAAATACCTACTAATACTCAACCAACAACAACAAAACATTGATATGCTAGATGGTGAAATAGAAAGGGCGATCACAAACTTCAAAGTGCAGGTTGACAGTCCTGCCATTCTAGGTCGTTCGCTGACAGAGCTTTCTATTACCAATAGGATATGATGGTTATGTTATTGTCGTTAGTCAACTAGGAGGTGCATCATCTTAACAAGATTGCCAATTATGTTATTCATATGCCAACATACTGAATGGGTTACCTTTTATAATGGGAGGTGATAATTTCCACAACCAAATTCTCTTCCAATTTCCACTAACTTTCTAGGGGAAAATTGCATAGCTTATGTACCAACAAAAAGTTGAGTTTTCGGATCATAAAGTACAAGCTAAATACTACAGAAAAAAAGAACACGATGATGCAAAAGGTCAAAACACAACAATTTTCCATCACGACAACTACTAATGAAGATATATTAAACTATACATGAACCCTAACTGCATCTTCGTTCATGTTGCAAGACTAAATTTGTCTACTAGATTTAAAGCATATTGATCAATTGAATCTTGACTTCATTATGTAATCTAAAAGCCATCTTATTTGCACAAAAAATAAATATTCATAAATCACCCGTTCTACCAAATGGAAGTCCCAATGAGTCTGAAAGATTGAAATATTTCAAAAGAGCTTGAATGCAAGAACAAAAAAAATTGTTGAAAAATCAACAGCACACATGCATATATTTAAAAAGTAAAAAAAAAATAGAGAAAGAAAATTGATTATATATATATATATTAGTGGTGGCATAAAATGAAATGTTGCCCCCATTTTATTTTAACAAAAAATTAACTAGCTCCGAAATTAAAACATTCTAATTAAATTTATACAAAGTTGCGAGCATCCGCTCCAAAAGCCTTTTGGCATGTACTCTTGCAAGCACCAAAATGAGGCCAATGGGCCCCAACTTTATAATATAAAAAAATTAAAAAGCCATTCCTCAATTACCATTCCAGTTTTGCTGTTAGGCCGATTCACCATGAATCGGCCTAAGGTCGGCTTAGGTTTACAGGAGGCAGAACCTATTTGCCTCCCTTGCTCTTGCCTGCCCACATTGTGGGCCCTACAAGTCTAATTGAATTCAAATTGAAAAGGAGGGGTCGGCTAGGGCTTGGGATGAAAATTAGATTAGAAAAGTTTTTGTATTAAGAGCATGAGATGTTTTGGGAGGGATTATATTTTGATTTGATCTCAATTAGGGTTCTTTGGCGATTTGGGCTCTAGCCTCTCTTGTAGATTTGGGAGAGACGATCCTCCTCTCAAATTAAGAATCTCTTATATCTTGTTTTATTATTGTTTGGCTTTGATTTTCCTACCGCAATATATTGTTTTTGGGGCTGTTTTCACCCAGATTTTGATTATTCTTGTTGTTCTTCACCAATTGGTGATAAGTTTGTTTGTGAACTCAAGTATTACCCTTAAAGTTACTTGCGAACTCAAGTATTTCCTATCAAATTGGTATCATAGCAAGTCTTGGGACTATTCATGGGCTGATTTGGGCAAATTATTGCGGCTGATTTTTGGTCAGGAAAGAAGAAAATTGTTTTTTTTTTTTGTAAATCAAATCCTGAATTTTTTTATCTACAAAAATCCGGATCGAGATGGCGGCCAAGAAAGTAGATGTGCTTGAAGGGGAGATGAATCAAATCAAGACAACGATAGAGGAAAAGAGTTCTTCCATGGAAGGACAAGTAGCCGATCTCCGGGACATGATTAAGAAAATGTTGAAAATCAACAACCAAACGGCAGCTTCCATGGCAAAAGGGGTGGAAGGGAAAATCACGAATTCTGAAATTTGTAGGGAGGAAGATGAGGTGGAAATCATGGAAGGAAAAAGAAGAAGACCCCATCTTGAACCTGTCTAGAGGGAAGAAAGAGGTGGATATAGGGAACGCCAGGAGGGATACTATGGCTGCCAAGGTACTAATTTTGAAGAAATGAGGGAATTCGAAGGAGGTTTGGTCTATAGCATGGCAAGGGAAGATCGGGAGACGTGGGGAGGGCCAAGCACTTGGGAGAGGGGAGGCTGTGGAAGAATAAGGGGAATGGTGGAGGTCAGAAGGTGACGAAGCTGAAGATGCCCATATTCAAATGGGATGATGCTTATGAGTGGATTTATAAGGTGTAGAGGTACTTCGCCGTCAATGGGCTGACGAAGGAGGAGAAGCTGACAGCGGCAGGCTTGTGCTTGGAAGGGAATGCTCTGCCATGGTACCAGTGAAGAGGCCAGAGGATACATATCATGAACTGGAGGGAATTCAAGGACTGTATAATATAACGTTTCCAAACCGATCGGGAAGGAGATTTCTATGAGCAGTTCTTTGCTCTGACACGGGAGGGATCAATAGCAGACTACCGGGAGCGGTTTGAGCACCTGACCAGTAGGGTGAAGCGATTATCAGATATTTTATTAGAGAGGAACTTCATGAAGGGGTTGAAGGAAGAGATC